AATCTGCCCCTGTACTGGTATTACTTTACGGTAAACGTTACTTTAGTATATATTCTATTTGGATTAATGGAAGTTAATGGATTAATGGATATCTCGAGCCCTGTTCCGTTCTATCCAGTTGCTCCATTGTATGTCTGGCCGAACTCACGGTGGGCTTTAAGAAATGACTTGTTAGTGCTCACAGGGAGGAAATAACCTAAATATACACATAACAGAGAATTCAGAAAAGAAAACAATATGCCTTACAAATTTTTTACTACCCGAGGTACCCTCTTTATTCGAGAAAATTTCAGGACGAAATATGCAGCTGTGTTCTGTGTATATATATATACAGTAAACCCTCCTATAAAACGGGTTCATATAATACGGATTCGTATATAACGGCGAAATAATTGCGATTGTATTCGTATAAACACGCTAAAAGAAACTCGTATAATACGGTAAAACGTCATCGCTGACTCGTGTCGCGACAGGATTGGTCGAATCTAGACAAATAGCGGATATTGCACAAACCGTTGAGTTTAAACGAGCAGCGGACCTACTAAAAACCATTTATTATTTAACGGCCATAAAAATTATATTTATATTAATGATGTCTCCAAAGTTCAGCGAATTTTTCGCAAAAAAAATAATTTATCAGAAAGCACGCGAGCGCCATTCGATGCACCGCTCCACGAGAAAAGCTTTAAGCAATGGCGTCGTCGAACGGTGCACACTCGGCAAGTAATCCTACAATTTTTTTGTTTATAGCATAGTTTATATGGATTATTCCCAAAAATTATACGTATTTTGAAAATGTTGAGTCGAATTAGTCTAGAATCGATTAATTTTATGGAAGAAAACCTTTCAAACAGCCGTAGTCCGTAAACTGCACACGTTGCGGGCTGTGATTGGCTGGACTCGTAGAAAATGGATTCATAAAAACCGGAACGTATCTACCATGTTATAGGGGGGTCGACTGTATATTGAACTTGCTTATTTATTAAGTGCGTTAGATAATCTATTAATTAAAAATAGATTTAGAGAAGTCTACGTTTCTTACTGGCTTGCCGAACAAACGAATATGAATAGACCCTAGACTAGGGGTGGTGTTGTGGAAATTGCTTTTATCGACGAGGTGTTGTAACTAACGATCGATATAGTTAAGTGCTGTGGAGTACGCTTGGTGAGGGGAAAGTTTATCAACCGGAGTGAAAGTTTTGTAATTGGAAGAGAAGGCTTGTGAGACAGTGTACGGAGTTATCTGCCTCCCTAGTCCTTGGTTTTGGAGTTGTTTGGGTTGTTCAGAGGTATTTTCTGTCTTTGGAACGGGATTTCGTGGGACAGGCGTATCAGGTAGGAGTGTAGTTTGAGTGTCTTCAAGTGGTGGCGGGAAATTCGGGAGTCGGGGCGTCTTCGCCCCGGCCTGAACGGTCTGGGTCTATGGACATGGGGGTGGAATCGGAGTTGCAACCTTCGCTGCTTCGGTTTATGTCTCCGGTGACAGAAGTCACAAAACTTGGTTGGATACGGCAAAGTCTAACGGAGGAACATACTTACTCCATATTCTGGAAAGGGGATCATCCCCTACGCCGTCTGCGTCCACCGGAGTTGCATGCGGTTTTGCGGGGGTATTTCCCTAATCCGGAGAAGATACTGGACGTGCGTTATACGCGTAATGGTCTACTTTTACTAAAAACGTTAGATCCGGACGTAGCGGCTACGGCCCTTGGGGTTACGTCTTTGGGGGACACGCCGGTTTACGGTCGGCTGGCCCAAGACTGCGTATCTACAGGCTACGTTATTCGGGGAGTGGATACGACAATATCAGCTAAGGAAATCCACGATTTACTTGAGGAGGACGGAGTTCCAATTCTCGAGGTTCGGCGGTTTACTCGGAAGGTGGAGGGTGTCATGGCGCCTAGTACTACGGTTTATTTGTCGGTGGCCAGTGTCACTCCACTGGCGTTTGTAAAACTATATTATCAACGGTTTCGATGCGAATGTTTCTACCCCCGTCCTCGGCTGTGTTTGCGGTGTCTAAATTACGGTCACGGGCAGACAAATTGTAGAGGCAGTCAGAAATGCCTGAAGTGCGGACGAGATCATGACGCGACGGATTGCGAGGCGGACAATATAAGGTGTGCTAGGTGTGGAGGAGAACACACAGCGGACTCTGCGCATTGTCCAGAATATCAACGGGAGGCGCGGATATTGAAACTGCGTACGTTACACAGGTGCTCTCACATGGAAGCGAGGGGTAAATTGGAGAAGACTTCCAAATCCCCAACAACATATGCTCAGGCAGTCAGAGTAACATCTGGATCCCAGGCGGGAGACAGAGAAAGAGTAAGACAAACACAGAGTAAGCAGGCATCGGTCAATGCCAGGGTGGACGAGGGGGTGTTACAGACGCTTATCTCTAGAATAGCGAACTTGGAAACCGCTATAGTGGTATTACGTAATGAACTTGTTGAATTGCGGAAGTCGTGCCAAGGGAGTACCTGCGAGGTGACTCAGGGGAGCCAGCAGGTAGACTCAAGGGAGATCACGCATCCTCCAGGGTCGGGAAATGCGAATTTCAAACGTCCTTTCCAAGGCGAGTTGCAGCGCAAGATAGGGAGAACTCCTAAGAAGAAACGTGGGGGGAAACAGACTGATGCTCTCCCTCCGGGCACATCGGAATCCGAGGGTCTCGTATCTGACATGGAAATCGGCGACAGGTCGGGTAGAACGGAAATTATAGATGATCACTGCGTAACATCACCAGCGGAGTTGGCAAAACTCCGTCGGCGTCCATCTCTTACCTCTATCCCAAATGTCTGACAATCGGCGGGAGAGGCGGGATTTTACGATTGTTCACTGGAATGCGCACGGACTACGGGCAAAAAGAGACCTCCTTCTAACGGAGCAGTGGTTTCAAACGGTGGATGTGCTCATGATCCAGGAAACGTGGTTAACGGGAGGACAGTCTTTTNAAAAAATATACGTATTTTGGAAATGTTGAGTCGGATTAGTGTAGAATCGATTAATTTTATGGAAGAAAACCTTTCAATCAGCCGTAGTCCGTAAACTTGACACGTGTCGGGCTGTGATTGCAACGACTTGTAAGAAATCGGATTCCTAATAAATTGGAACGTATCTATATCTTATAGGGGGGTCGACTGTATATGTTATAATTTGTTATAATTTAAATACGATAATCAAAGAATATAAATTAATTATTTGTATCTATTCTTGCTTTTAGTAACAATAAATTGGTTTAAAAATTGAAATTTATTGGACTATCGAAAATCCTCACCTGATAACTGAAGGAAACATTTGATATGTGAATTGAATTAAGATATTTAAATATATTTAGAGTGAAGAACCATCGATTGATATGGCATTTAAGAAGAGAAAGTATATCAAATTTATATCTGCGAAATAATTTCTCACGATTTTTACGATTCAAGGTTTTCATTCGTACGTTTTAATGTTCAAAAAGTGGGTTAAGGTCGATATACCGGTCGATCGACTTCTTTCGATATATCACCAAAAACGGGTGGGTCTTTAATTAAACATTATTCGCTTCCAACTTACTAGGTTAAGGTCAATTCCATAAATAATCATCGAGAAGAAAATATTCTAAAAATGCAGATTCGCGGACCAATATGCTGGGAAAACAGTGCTCTACTAAGTACGTTATCGTGAAGGAAACTCAAATGTGGACCCGACTAGATTTTCGAGGTCGATCATACTTCGGGGTGGAGTATAAAAGGACCCGATTTAACAATTCTCTACACAGTCAACAAACCAGACAGTGAACAAAATGATCGCTAAGGTAAGTTCCTTAATATTTTAATACATTTCATTCTTTGGTATTCACTTTTCTATACTTTTCTTAAGTTTCTACTCTAGAATTCTTTTGAAATATTACATTATCTTCAAATTTCAATATCCATAAAGATTTTTTGTTTAAATTTAATTTTTTTAAATTTCTGTACTATCCACTCTGATTTTGGTTTCTCATTCTCCACTTTTAATTTTGCGTTATTTCTAAAGTTCCTACTTATCAATTTCTATTTCTATTTTTATTTTCTACAATTCTTTAAAAAATTGTATTAAATATGGAAATCTATCTTGCCGACAAGATGTAATTTTTCACATTCATTAGCCAATAAGATTTTGTTCACTAATTTTTTACTATTTTGTTAGTTTAATTTGAACATCTAAAGTAAAGATAAATAATACTGCTGCAACAATTTTTTACATTAATTACCATATTCTCCTATTCTAAAACAAAAGAATAGTGTCAAATGTAGCCTATATTCTTCAAGAAGTAAAAAGGCATAAATTTATTTCTGTAGGTTGCAGTAATTCTCGCTCTTTTTGCCGTTGCCAACGCCGGCTTCGTCGGATACGGTGCAGGATATGGCGGCGCCCACTTAGGTGGACGAAGTGTCAGCTCTCGTAGACAAGACGTAAGCAAAGTTTCAGCCAGAAAATTAAAGCCGAAGCAAAGCACGAATAATAATAATAAATGAATAATTTTCAGGATTTCGGCAACTATGCTTTCAACTACCAGATCGTTAATGGAGTAGGTGCCGCCAATGGTAGATGGGAATCAGGAGATGGATATGGCAACAAACGTGGTTCCTACACTTTAGCTGATATCGATGGCCGTGCAAGACGTGTCGAATACGTTGCCGATGGTGCAGGTTTCCGCGCCATAGTAAAGACCAACGAACCAGGAACCGCTCACAGTGCACCAGCAGCTGCCATTGTTGCATCCCCATACGCAGGACCCATTGCAGGTAGTCCAGCGTACGTTGCTCACGGAGGTTATGGTCCCGGTGTATTTGCCGCCAAGGGCCATTATTATGGTTAATTCTCTTTAGCGGGTAAGAATAATCGAATATAAACTTACACCTTAAACACTAATCTGCATTCGGAATATAAACTAAATTTTAATTTATATCTCGATTTCTTTGCAGAAAATTGCTTCTTTAACGTCCCAGCTTTTCCGTCTCAATGCCAAAACATAAAGCTAGGATTCTACTTCAAAGTGTGCTAATGGAGGGAATATACTATGCTGGCATTTCGATGTTGAATTACGTACTGTACATATCTTATCATTGGCGCTATGCTCGTGTACAGCAGTCTTTCTTCGATGTGTGATTGTGTATATTATGTAATATATTTACAATGTGTATTATAACGCTTAGGATAATAAAATTAGGTTTGGTAAGATTAAAATGCCTTGTCACTTACACTAGCAAATATCATCAAAAATTAGCAAAAATATTATTAATAAACTATTCCAGACATTATATTAAATTTAAAACATTCACTCATCTTCTATTTTAAAAAATATTAAATTTTAAATATTTTGTTTTTAAATTCTTAATTCTGGAGAAGACAAATTTTTATAAAATGCAAATTTAAATAAATACCAAAGATTGTTTATAAAAACAATTTACAAGAAGATTAATAACAGTGTAATATAGAATCCATTCAATTTTAATGCAACAGGTTGATTTTCCCACATTCTAATCTATTCGAAATTCAAGCATGAACTTGAACCACGAATCAAAAATTTTTATTAATTAAATATAATTTAAATAAATTTAATACTTTTAATATATAATCTGAACAATATTTTATTATATTACAGATTTCTATCTGCAAATAATTACAAAAATTTATATATAATGCAGTTTTTTTTATTGCTTTCAACTTGTGGATCTCATCAATCATATCTGTTATAGAATCAGCTAATGCCAAAGCTATATTAATATATAAAATTATAAATCAAAATCAAAGATAAATTATCGTAGATATTAATGTACAGTACACTACATGATGAATGTTTTATTAGTTTTTGTAATAGAACAAACTATCTTCATTTTTATGACTACATTGATATAAAATCTATAAATTTCTTCTATAATTTTCAATTATGTATTTATTTCTTTGAAGCATTTTTATTCTGATATTTAAATCTGCTCAAGCTTTATCTTTCCAAATAATTTATTTATAATTCGCATCTCACAAATAAAAACGAGATTATAGAACATAAAGTAATATTTTCGAAGAAAATACAGGCACATCTTCTATTATGCTTTTACAGAATTACTAAATTCCAGCATAAAAATAAATTTTATTACATAATAAACAAACCGTGCAATATAAAAAATTTTAAAATAATGTAGAAATTTCCATGAATATAATTTTTACTGCATCAAATAAATGTCACAAAAGAAAGTTCAAGTGATTCCAAATATCTAAACTGCCGATTTCTTTTTAATATTTCATTACTAAAAAACATAGAATATTCTTAACAACTTAATATTCTACGCTTCGTGGGTATTAATTATAACATTAATAAAAATTAAGGAATAGCATTGAAAAAGTATTAATTTAAAAACCTAAACAAATAAGTTTTTCCAACAGATTCTCAGTTTAAAATTCACTGAAATTGAATGTGATTACAATTAAGAAAATATTAATTAATAATTTTCTTTTATGACCTCGACACGAGTCTGAAATTTTGAAATTAAAATTCAATTTCAACAAAATCTCAAATTGTTAACAGCACATCTAAGCGAGTTACTATACATACTTATCCCGAAAAGATGTATTTCCCGTATAGCAGTATTGATGCTCTGCAGAGAAGAGATCATCGCGTGAAGAGTTAATTTCATTATTAGCAAATTTGATTCGAATGGAACATAAAAATATTCAGCGATTATATTTTAAAAGCAAATACTTTTAAAACATAATCGCTGTAGTAATGTTTTTATGGGCAAGATAACAATTTCATTTGTCAAAAATCAAAATAAAAAAACGATGGTACTAACTACAGGTATCCCTCGTATAACACGGTAGTTACGTCCAGAAAAAGTTTCGTGCTATACGAAACAAAAGACTAATGCAAAACAGGGTTACATTCCATACTATTATTTTTCATTACTAAGAGAAATGTGTTTATTACAGCGACCAATACTTTTGTGGGACGCCGGAGGTATGACGAGGTCGTACCTCTATTTGTCGGCAACAAGTTGGTTAAACTTACCCACTTTGTCAGTAGATGGCTTGTTACTTTCTACGATCTCGAAGGGCCGGGATTCTTTTCGTCAGGTCGAGTGGAGGAGGTGAGAGGGGACGTCGTAAGGCGTAGGCAATAAACGAGCAAAGGACACCATTTAACAAGAAAATTTATTGAATAACAAAAAAGGACGTTTACAACTACGAAAATCAACATAACTTCGAGCTCTCCTAACTTTCGAATACAAGTTTTAGGGGCCGAGAGAGCGTTTACATGCTTAATATCACACCTCTTGATTATTCTATGGAGGTTCGTATCAGACTTTGATGTCGACGGTGCACAATTTTATAAAAATCGCGACTTTGATTCGTAGACCGCACTTAATAAAGATAGCTCGACGATATCGCTCTTCAGTATAGTCCGGCTTGTGAGAGACTTCCCTGAGGGGTTGATGACGGCTTATATTGATTTGGCCTGGGAAAAACGTCATGTGATGGACTGTTATTAGAGCTAGAGGTTACTTTAGCAGGTATGAAGGTCGAAAGGTGTTCCCGGGACGATAATAAAGTAAAGAAATCGGACGTTATCGTAAACTTTAAGTCTTGCAGTATGAGAATGACATTGTTTAGATGGTTGAATGTGTACATTAGAGAGGAGAGTTATAACTTTCTATCGTTGTTGATGAGATATTTGATTTTTTTCTGACGATGTTATCTTAACGGTAAGGTGATAAATTTATTTAAAATATGTCGAAAGTTTAGGTGGAAAGTGAAAAATTGGTTTACGCACGGATCGGATCTCATATTCACTCCACCCTTTTTTTAAAATCCCACTTATGATAGTGTGATTTTAATATGTTCTGTCAATAAAATTTGTGGTTAGAGGTATGTTTACATAGGGAATGTTCGGTTTAATTTTTTTCTTTCTCTCGACAACAATTTTATGGTTCATTAGCCGCATCAATATGTCGCGTCACTATAATAAAAGAATTTGATGTGAAATTTAATATTATGGATATATACAGATAAATCACAGCGCGTGTCAAACTCGCGACAATATTTATTGCTCGAGGTTATAGGACGGGAGTGTCTTCCAACCTGAATGGTTGGTTGGTCGGTTGAAGTTCTCGTTGACCTGGATACGAGGGTAACAGTTCAAAGTTTATGATGAGTCTCTATTCTCTAGAACAGTAGTTCTTAATTACTGTATATATAAATTAGGTACTGTATATATAATTATATATTAACTTAATTTATTGTAACTTTATTATAATTATATATATATATACTTTCCGCCGTCCAGCGCCACGCTACAGAGAGTTTAGGCGTGTAAGTTGAGTTCACTATCGTCTGTACAGTATGTAAATTAGGTACCGTAAGTCTAATACAGCACTAATTTTACACATTTCTTGTGAAAGAAACATTTCTTATTCAACGGACATAAAAATTATTTATATTAATGATGTCTCCAAAATTCAACGAAGTTTTTGCAGAAAAATAACTTAACAGAAATCGCGGCCGCCGTTTGGTGCGCTGCTCCTCGACAAAAACAAGCTTAAGCATTGGCGACGTCGAACGGTACACACTCGGTATGTAATCCTACAATTTTTTGTTTGTAGCATAGTTTATATGAATTATTCCCAAAATAATTATACATATTTTGGAAATGTGTCGAATTAGTCTAGAATCGATTAATGTTATGGAAGAAACCTTTCAAACAGCCGTAAGTCCGTAAACTGCAGACGTGCCGGGCTGTGATTCTCAAGGTCTCCTAAAACATAAATTTCATAAAAAACGGAACATATCTACCGTGTTATAGGGGGTCGACTGTACTCTATAAAGATTCATATAAAACTTGATCGAAAAGTAGTAAAAATTGGTAAATGCAGACAAAAAATGACATTCTTCTAGCACAGGGGTGGCCAACCTTTTGCATACCATTTTGATAGACGAGTTCACATGCGCAGTGGCGTACTGTGAGTGTTAGCAGCCCGGAATGGAGAAAATTTCGGCTACCCCTTATTTAGGTATTTCAATCTATAAGACGAAAATTCAGATTTGCCACAGAACAAGCAATGAAAAATGCGGTTGCAGTGTAGCTACCCGTAAAAAATAGTTCTATATGACATCAGTGGTGTAGTGTACATTAACACGAATGCGTCGTGTAACGTACAAGCAATAAAAAACAGGTCAACAGGTCGATTGCACCGAAGCGCCACTTGTAGTCGTCCAATGCGCCAAGTTTGGCGCATGCGCCACGTTTTGGCCACCCCTGCCCTAGACCATCGCTGACTGATTGCCCCTGGAAGTCGGCTTCTTACAGAAACGCAGCTTCCCTATCATCAAATGTCACGGCATGCCACTGATGGATAGTCTGTCCTGGATATGTCGGGCAAGTCCTATCACTTGGTCATACCGTATTAGGCCTAGCCGAATTTGTGATGGGCTTCATAGAAAGCCTTTTTTAGTGTTCGTAGGACGAAAACTTATTAAAAAGTATTGTATTCTTTACAAATTAAATTACAAACGCATATTTTTCTGTATTTATTTATGGGGTGCGAAATTCTTATGCACGACTTTGCCACTGTTGTGCTTCTATAAATATTTCAATTCTCAAAGTAGAAAATCATTGCCTGTTTGAAAATGAGGCTTAAATATCACTCAACAGATTTTCAGGTAATATTCATCACTTCCACTTTGTGTGTTTGATTTTAATTTGTTTCAGAACATTCTAGAAATTGTAAGATGATTGATGAGATGTTAGTAATGAAGATTGGGATGAAAAATAATGATAGTATAGTCGGTTTGCTATAACTTTGTGCATGCCTCCGCAAGAAATAGTTCGCAAACCATTGCTATCAATTGCCCCGAGACTAAATCTAAATATATAAAATTTCTTGTCCTAACTGACTGAATGACTCACTCATTCACTGATTCATCATCGCCCAGAGCAGACCGCTTAACCTAAAAAGGTGAAATTTGGTAGACAGTATATTAATAGATAGATAGTACATGGAAACGCACACTAAGTAGAGATTTTTCGAAATTCCTCCGCGGGGGGAGAAGGAGAGGATTAAGGCTTAACCGGAAGAACGGCTTCTACTGTACTATTTTAGATGCGATTTTTTGTTTTTATCTGCGTTTTAGTAGGGTATGCCATGGCAATGCACACTAAGAAGG